CACCCGCCGCCGCCCCGCCCGCCTCTGCCGCGCCCGTCACGGCCTCCGGCGAGCGCGGGCGCTTCGCCCCGCCACTCGGCACGCGCTCGCCGCCTCCGGCGCTGCGCGCCCTCCCCGCCACGCGCACTCGCATCTCCCACCCGACGAGCGCCTTTTCGAAGCCGGGGTTGGGCCGGCAGCACGGGCGCGCCTCGGTGAGGAGTCGCAGGGCGCAGCGCACGGAGAGGGCGTGCTCCTCCATCAGGTACGCGGCGGCGAGGGTGGCTGAGCGGGAGACGCCCGCGTGGCAGTGCACCAGCACACAGCCGCCCGCCCCGATCGCCTCGCGGATAAAGTCGACGCCGCGCCGGAGGAGCGGCTCAATGTTGAAGTCGGCGCGGTCCTCCGCCGGAAGCTGGAGATGCTGGCGGCGACCGGGCGGCGGCGGCGGCTCGCGCACCCAGCTCTGCCCGTCGAGCGCGGACGACTTCCGCCTCCACCCGCCGGTCGTGTCTAGTACTGCGGTGACGCCGTGCAGCTCGAGCCAAGCGTCACTCTCGGCCGCCATGAGTGGCCCGAGGTAGAGGCCGGGAACGATGAGCTGCGCAGTGTGCTCGTCGAACGGCTCTCGCGCCGCGGTGAGGCGTCCGAGCTCTTCATCGCAGCCGCTGGCTTTGCATGCTGCGGTGAGCGCCGCCACCGCATCGGCCGCCGCAGGCGTGCCCAGCGCCGCCCGGAGCGCAGCTAGAGACGCCTCGAGGCCCGAGGCGCGACGCGCGAGCGCGGCGGCGGCAAAGTAGAGGCGGATGTGCTCAGATGAGACCGCGGCGCGCCACATACACACACACACACAGGTTGTGTTCTCTAGGCCTGTACTGGGTGAAGGGCGCGTACATTATATGAGAGATTAACCCTGGTACGTGGACAAAAGTATGCGTTTTTCGGCCTCCCCTCCCTAACATTAGCCGGCCAAAATGTGCTCCTACCGGCTAATATTAGGGAGGGGGGGGCGGTCGGGTGTCAGACCTAGCGCTAGGCGTGCGAGGCTGACGTATTTTGGACAATCCACCTACCAGGGTTAAGGGGCAAAGTCGGCTTTCCCAAAAAGGCCTGTTTTCTCGTTTTTCATGCACACCCGGACACAGCCGAGCCTCGGGCGTCCAAATTGGGGGCTGTGGGGTAGACACGGCACCGGAGGCTTGGCCCGGGGGCGAGATGAGGGGCGGCGAGGGCGATCGCGAGCACCAAGGCGACTTGCGGGAATCACTGCTGCACCGCCAGTGGCGCCAGTCCGACGGCCTGACGGCGACTCATGGACTTTTCACGGGGGGGGAGGCTGCCCACGTGTTGAGTATGACCTATGCGCGTGTAGCGGCTGCCGTATCGCCAGTGTTGAAGTGAATGTTGAAGTTATCTTTCGCTGGGGGCAGCCCGGCAAGGCTACTGCGAGGCCGCAGCTGCAACACACAAATACGGCCGCCGGGGACCGATCGGCCGAGACGGCGAGCGCATGACCAGGGGAGCTGGCAGACTGTCCTCACGGACCAAGACACATAGCTGAGAGGGCACCTCCGACGCTCAGCCACCAGTAGCAGTGTATCTCTCAGCTGAGCCTGGAGTTGAGGCTCGGGCCGTCACGGGAGGGGAGCACGGTTTCATCGGAACTGTCGCGCAGACAGGAGCGGCAGCACGCGCCAGCGCGGTGGCAGGGGTCGAGTTGCGATGGCCTATGCGTTGAACAGAGGAGTACTGGCTCCTCTCTGCCTAGAGTTTGTGCAGTGGCAGTGTGGAGCCGCGGCATGCCGCCCGCTCAGACCAGCCGCAGTGACTGCGCCGCGAGCGCCGCGAGCGTGTCCAGGCTGACAGACAGGCGCAGGCAGCGAGGGCCGAGCGCAGGCGCAGCGGCGCACGCAGCGAGGCACCTGTCAAGCAAGATCCGCACGCCGGGAGCGTCGCTCGGCGTTCGTTCAATTGAGGCGCGCCAGATCCTCGCGAGATTCTCTGATGACGCGAGTGGGGAAAGCAGGCAGAGGCGCGCGAGCTCCAGGCGGCGACGGAGTCCGACGGCCTCCTCGCCATCCGCACGCGCGGCGCCATCAACACGGCCGCCCAGATCGAGCACTTCACTCCTCTGCTCGAGAAGCACTTCGGCAACGTCATCTCCGTCCAGGAGGGATACCACTCCTTCCTCGGCATCAAGTCGGACGAGAAGGACGGCTCCCTCCTGTTCAAGGTCAAGAACGAGAACCTCGTCAGCGACCTCCCGCTCCTGCGCAACGTTTTCGCGAGCGGCGATGTCGGCGGACCCCTGCGCCTCGACGTAGGGTGCGTCAAGATCCTCGGCAACAAGCTCTGCCCCTCCTGCCGCGCGTTCGGGTCGACCAACGCCGACATCGTCCACGGCACGCTGTGCGAGGCGCAGGCTCTCAAGGCTCGACGCGCTGCAGCGGCCGGCGTCGCCAAGAAGAAGGGCTTCCAGACTCTCCTCGCCGACAACAAGGTCGAGGTCGCGCGCGCGGCGGGCAAGGTCAAGGCGATCGCGGCGCGCGACAGGCTGGGCTTCTGCACGACCTTCAACCTGCCTTCAACCAGACCGGCCTCCCCTACAAGATCAGCGCCCGCTGCCGCCACGCGCCGTGCGTCAACTACGAGGAGCTCCTCGGCACCGCTTTCAAGGGCACCGTCTACGAGCGGATGCCGAGCGCAGTTAGGCTCGGCACGAGCCACGGGCGGCGCGGCGGCCGCGGCCGTGGCGGCGGCGGCGGCGAGGTCAAGAGCACCAAGAAGGATTGGGCGAGCTTCGCGCGCGGCCTCGCCCGCTCCCCCAACCACGGCGGCCCACGCCTCGAGTCCAACGAAGCCTCCCTCTTCGAGGGGAGCGATGACGAGCTCTAGAAGCGGCCGCCGAGCCCTCCCCGCGGCGCAACTAGCTAGCAGCGCCGCGGGCAGGGCGGCTCGCATAGCGCCCGCGCGCTCTTGCTCGCGCTCGCGCGCGCGCGCGTTCGAGCGAGCGAGCGAGCGAGCACACACACACACACACACACACACACACACACACACACACACACACACACACACACACACACACACACACACACACACACACACACACACACGCATGCACCCACTTACATAGATTCCGGCACAAGCACACAGCGGGGATACGCACTTTTCTTCCTCCCCAAAAATCCCAGGGAGGGCCCCCACGCCCAAAATTCTTCTGGGGTGCCTGGGGGCCCCCCCCCC